ATTTTACGAATTTTAGCAATGTGAAAGCAGAGTCATAACTTATTTTGTAAAAGCGAGATATGCGACTCATTTTACAAGAATCTCCGTTTTGTGGTGTCGGTATTATAGCAGATGTCGTATAAGTTAAACAAGATCTGACGACCCGAATGGCGTAGTGGGTAGTGTACCTGCCTCCGGCGCCAGAGGGTGTGGGTTCGATCCCCACTACTGGAAAAATATTGTGTGATGAACATGGTGTTTTTCTAGCGTCTGGATGTTTCTATATGTATAATATGTATTTATTTACAAAAGAAAAGTATGTTTAAGTATTTTTATCAGTTTTCTAGTACCCATAGTACAAGCTTTGCTTAGTTTGGGACTAGAAAATGTTGTGTACAAATGTGTCCTAAAAATTTATTTATTTATTTTTTTAGATCAGAAGTCCGTGGAAAAAGCAGGGGTTGATGAATTTATGGTAATTATGTAAAATCTTACGAAATGTTTTTGGAGCTTACAAAACACAAATACATTTTAATCGATATAAAAATGTAAGTAATTTAATAATTCATTAGTTAAAATCTATGAAAACACTTACTTTAAAGAAAAAAAAATAATTTCGATGACTTCAGAATACAAAAGTAAATGGTTCAAAACGTCGGGAACAAAACATTAAATATAAACGCGATAAATCCGAAAAATGTTTTCATTCAGTAGTTTCGTTCCTTTTTTCTACAAATTTTAATATATATTTTTATTTTTAGCTGTTAAGCACATATTTAGTAAGCTACTCGGTTCACTTTCAGAATAAGCCCATCAAACTAAACTGACTCATTGAATTGTTCAATTATTTGATTTTTTTAACAATGCTTCAGAAAATATGTTGACACAATTACATAATTTAAAAACACGGCATGACTTAATCTACTACTGAATCATGCCGTGTGGTAATAATAATAGGCAATGAAAGGACAAGGAACAAATTTCATACATAATTAACATTCTAAATTGTGATGTAAGTCGCACACAATTTCTGCTAATCAAAGTTTTAAAACATAACCTAAAAAAAATAATAAAATGCTTTTTGCATAATTCCCTTTAAAAACATGAGCCGAGCTATGGCTTGCAACAAGTATCGTATGGCTACGAACTCCAAAGGTTGCACGCTTTAATGAAACTGTAAATAACAGCTTATTGCAGTAAATTCCTGAATGTAATAGCTATCTCTTAAAGGCATTTTAATATGTACCAAAGTTGGTCATCCGTCTTGGCATAGTTTTATTTCGTTAATTAATTCTGCAATGGAAAGAATAAAAAGCTCACAAAATGTTGACATCAAACTAGCCCCGAATAAGTGATATTTATGTAAATTAAAGTTGAAAGAAAGAAGATAGAGCATTCGACCGGCACCAATCAGAATCGAACCGAGCCCCACTTAGACACTCTCAGCTAGAAGCCAAAGGTCGTGTATCAGAACAACGCCAATTCGTGTTGGACGCCCTACTGGAAGACCTGGAGCTTCCTTATGCCTAATAGCAGTTTGAAAGTGGGCCCCGCCAATCCATACCGCCGTTAGTTACACCTATGGAAACCAACATGTTGATGTTGCATATGACAGCCACACAAGGGACACCCGCGTTCCGGGGCGATTCCCACCGCCCCCAGAAATCGATTATTTAAACACAGTCAACGGCCATAGGGGTCACGTTCCGTACCGAACCACGATGGCCCGTAGGTATAAGATATGTGAATTTTTTGTAGTAATTTAAAAAAAATATACCAATGAATAAGATTACTAACGTAGAAAATAAAATTTTCGAAATTCAAATAAAATTTCATCTGACCAAGAACGGTGAAACGATGTTTCCTCAGTCACAGTCAGTGATTCATTATGATATTAACTTGTTCCTTGCCCATAAAGATTTAAAGTTCAGTAACTTGAATCCAATTATGCAATTGCTTAAACCTTAGCGAATAACTTGATCTCGCCGCCACTATTGAAAGATGGGATATAAAAATAACGACGATGGACAAATATCTATCTGCTCTCTATCGAATCAATTGAATAAAGCAAAATATTGATGCTGTATTTAAAAAATCTATGAAAGATATATCTGTAAGCTATTGCGGGAATGAACTGTGGATGTGGCCCTCCATCGTTCAAATTAATAGAGTGCCGCAAAAATAAAGTAAAGGCCTAGCAGATACAAGCTTGATAGTTTTCAAATAAATCCACATTCGGACATTAATTTTGTTACCCGTATTGACATTAAAACGACGTAGAATATTATAAACTTATGACTTGAAAGATGCATTTTGGTATAAGAAAGATGAATTTATTCCTTCTTCACGCAAACTGCAAAATCTAAAAGTGTACAATTTTGGGTTTATATGTAATTGAACTTCCATACATGAGCCGGCCATATAGGTCGTAGAACCGATAGCCGTTGGCAAATAAAGGTCTCTCATGATGATGACGATGATGTAATTGAATATATATATCAATCTTGAACCCACTTAACATAACGCAATAAAATTTTGCTTCGACAAGCTGAATAAAGAGTTAAGTATGTTAATACCCCTTCCGGTGGGTTCTGAATTGTACTGTCATGGCACGTAGATTTAAGAAATCTCCCGTTATTCTCATGCAAAGAATGTTTAAAAATATATCATACCAACACACCCGACGCCTAAAATCGGACAACTTATAAATAAAAATATAACTAAAAAAATATGTTCAGTCGACCAAATTGTGAATTAAAGCTATTCTCGAATCCACCTGAACGCAAAAAAATTCATCAAAGATTTCATCGATAGTTTGAAGATTCAAAAAGTATAACATAAAATTATTTCAATACAATGTAACAAAAATTATTAATTATAAGTTTTGTCACTGTGTTGTTAAATGTAATTACCCTACCATAGGTAATTTCAACATAATGTGTCAATAGGACGTTTCATTATTATAAAAATAGTACATGAGAAATATAAAAAAAAAAAACTGAATAGACACTTAAAATTGGAACCACTCTAAAAAATTATGACGTGAGCTCAGAGATTGATCCCCAACCAGCAAACAAATTATTTTATGTTTCGCTTTTTCGAATAATACAGTAATTTAATCAGCACTGAAAACAAAATGTGAGGTTAAGGATGATCAATTGAATAGTTTGTTTTAATTACAATTATTACAATCTAAATTTTTATTTTACAAGAATTTATTATTTTGAAGTAAAATGGGATAACATTAAATTGGTATAACATAAAAAACACTACGTATTTTAAGGAATTCTACACTGAGGCGTATAAAATAAAAGTTAATTCTGCGTTAAGTTGATCCAACGCCGCTTGCTAATTGAAATTACACATACTTTATATTATAATTATGCATACTTTACTACCAAGATTCCTTTTGAAACTTAAACTGGTTTTATATAAAGCTTTAAGGCAAGCGCGATGCTAACTACTAAAATAAATGAGCTAGTCACATACCGTCTACAGCTAACTTATGCTTTCCTTGATGTTAGTGGAAATTTACAACTACTACTACAAGTACTTTGAATCTAAACAATTGACATCGTCGCATGTTTACATTAAAACCTATAATATATTATGTAAATTAAAGAAAAGTTGTTTATACCAAACGTTCAACTACAAGAATGTGCAAACACTTCTTGCATAGAACCATTAAATAAGCTGAATAAAAACACGAATACCTTATTTCGCGGAAGCTGTAAGAAATACTCAGCCTTGTATTGGCATGTATAAGGCTGCTCATATGAAACTCATGCGACGTTTAATTAAATTGAGTTTCGCAAGAGCTTTCCTTTGTATTCATTACAAGTCCTTATTATTAGTTGTCCGTTAAATAAACTACGAGTATATTGTAGTTTAATCTTTGTTTTAGAGCCTCGTTATGTTCTCTTGTAACTTGTATTCTTAAAACAGTCCAAAAGAAAATTCGAAATAATTATTAATGCTTTTAAAGCAGCAATACTATTTCTTATCAAGCGATTTAAAAAAAAATTATTATCGGCAAGTAAAAAAGGTTTTATGTCATGATCCTAAAATACAGAATCCAGTACTAACACATGAAACTACAACCGATCGTTATAATTTAATTCAAAAAACCGGCCAATCCTAGTGACAGACCTACATACAGACAGACAGCGGAGTCTTAGTAATAGGGTCCCGTTTTACCCTTAGGGTACGGAAACCTAAAAAGCGTCTTATAACATAGGAAGGTAGACTCTCGCAATTAAATTCTGTTTACACTGTATACTAAAGGTTTTGCAATTAAGCAGAATTTTAATAGAAGGTAGGGTCTCTACTGAGTTACAAGTTCAAATGGCACCTCGTTTGAACATTAACAGAACAGAGCACCAACTACGCATCTATACACATATAGAAACATTTAAAGTCGATTAAACGATTTTATATACGTTGTAACAAACACTTTTATCATCAACCTGTATCTTGCGTCAGAAGAAGTCTTCGATCCCCACTTCTAACGGCGGTTACCACGTAACATCAGGTGAACTACCTGCTCTTTTGCCAGCTGTTAACATAAAAAAAAACAATTTTCTTTAAATTCGTACAGCATAAAAAATTGTTAACAATTTTTACTGCCATTGCAAACGTGAATCTTATGCATGCTTATAAATTAAATTATTTCTACTTTTTTTCTTACATTTTGGAGAATTACCTATAAATATTTTTAGGAGCCTACGTTTTACTTCTTATAATGACAGTTGTCTGTTCTATTACCTGTTTCTTTCTGTTTGCTTGATTTTCTGTTTTTAATAAATAATGATCATTCTTCAACTTGTATCATCGTTTTATCATTTTCAGAGATTAATTTGGTTTGTTCATTTCATTTTGGTCCTTCTCCAGTAATTTTCCAGCGTACCTATTTTTATTAGGTAGCTTTAGTTATTCATTCCTTTCGTAGTATTTGTTTTCATTTTCACTGGTTTATTTTATTTTTATTTCTCACTTAATGATCACGCAGTAAAAGTAAAGTCATGCCGACAAACCCTGTGACTAGTACTAGTGTGCAAGATAATATTATGCAACCTAGTACTTCCCAACAAGTACCCCGACCAGCGCTGCCCCGAGTGAGTCGTCTAAGTTAAAATCATCACGCTCGTCGTCCACAATTAAGGCTCAAAAGGCCGCCGTAGAGGCCCTCGCCCTACACCGACGTTTTGAGCATGAGCAGGAGCTCGCCGAAAGTGAGAGGCAACGTGAACTACAGCTGGCCGAACGCGAGAGGCAACGTGAAAGTCGAGTGGCAGCACTCCGTCAGCAGGTAGGGCGAACTGCAGGCCGAACTTGCCGCTCTCGATGCGGAAGCCGCGGCAAGTCGCAGCAGTCGCAGTAGTTCTGCCAGGGTAAGCGTAGAAAGAACAGAAAGACGGGTCTAAAGTTTAGGACAGCCAGTTTGCGTTGGCAAAAATACAGTTAATAGAGGCATCCCTGCAGTAGGGCGCGAGCAAATAGTGGTTCCGCCTCCCGGCCACCAGGCATCTCTGCCGGCCACTGGGTCAACTGCATCCCCTATTAACCGTTTTGTTCATCAGAAGCAACTTTTAAACGTCACTAAAGCGTCCGTGCCTACGCGACCACTCATTTCCACGGAACTTGATCAGAGTAGTCTGTTTCAGGCTGTTGCTGACACTGCAGCTGCGGCCAAGGCGCTTGCTACTTCGCACCGTCATAAACATAACATTGAATTGTTTCATTTTGACGGAGACGCCTTAACATGGCTAAATTTTAAACGAATTTTTGATTTAACCAAAATCAATTTTTCAGATATTGAAAATATTAGTCGGTTACAAAATGTACTTCGCGGCGCGGCCCGAGATGCAGTCGCGTCACTGTTGCTGGCTATAGACGACCCGAACGATATTATAAGAGCTCTGGAGGAAAACTTCGCTCGTCCGGAAATTATAGTATTTAAGGAAGACTCCACTCTAAAAAATCTACCACGTTTGGGAAATGACTTGAAAGAGTTAATTACGGTAACGAATAAAGTACGTAATTCTATATCTTCTTTTAAAATACTGAAACAAGTTGAGTACTTGCACTCTCCAGAACTATTTCACGCCGTCTTAGGAAAATTGAACCCGGTTACTAAAGTAAGATGGACTGACTTTGCTATGCAATATACTACGGGGCGTCCTAAATTAGAGATTATGTCCGATTTTTTGAGGCATGAGTTAGATCAACTTATTCGGTTCGGTTTATCACCGGAATCTTGCTCGATCCAACATTCACCACAAAACTCTCAACTAAACAAACCGGGAAACGGGAAAATATTCACAGAGTTACACACTCTAAACCAAATTCTAAGGTGGTGTCTACACAAAAGCCTGAATGCGCGTTTTGCAAAAAAGATCACAATATTAAGTCATGTTCTGAGTTCAAAACCTTATCTGTTGATGAAAGGTGGGTCTGGCTGCGTGAGGTAAAAGCGTGTTATAGATGTCTTAGGCATAGTTCACATCAGTGGAAAGTTAACCCTTGTGGTGTCAATGGGTGTCTAATACGTTATTACCCGTTACTGCATGGTAAACAACCCGCCTCTTCTGTCAATACTACGTTCGACACGCAATCCACCGAAAATGATCATGCGACTACGCAACACGAACCTGCATTTGTCGAAAAGGTAATAGTTTCTACCACTTCTACAGGTGTTCAAGAACCCAGCTCCATCTTCATTCTGTGCCCACGTGTATTGCTGAAAATCTTACCTGTTACTGTCTCTGGTCCCTCAGGAAGTTGCAATGTTTACGCACTTCTCGATGACGGTAGCACTACTACGATCATTGACTCAAGTATTGCTGCTCAAATCGGTGCGACTAGGCCTCACCAGAAAATAACGGTCAATGGTATAGACGGACTTAGTAGAAACGCTACGATATCGTATGTAGATTTTCACATTAAGGGTAGGCACACACGAGACACATTTTTAGTGAAAAATGCGTGAGCTATGGAGTCTTTGTCTCTGCGTCCTCAAACAATTAGGCAGGAAACTATTGCTTCTTTCACACATTTAGCGGATTTACCTTGCAACGTAACTTACGAAGATGCTACTCCTACATTAAAAAATTGGGGCAGAGCAATGGCATTTGTCAATCAGCAGCGAGGTAAGGTGTGGTGGTAAGAATTAACCCGTTGACCAGTAAAACTAAATTAGTGGAGTTCGTTAATCACGGTGTGTGTATCGAACCTTCCGATGAGGAGAAATTAGACTCTCTTATTAGGGAACAATATAAAATTGACTAAAAAAGAAACTCTACATTCTAAGTCAGATAAACGTGCAGTCGAGATTTTAGAAAAAACTGCTAGACGTCTCCCCACTTCTGGTCGGTTTGAGGTTGGTATGCCGTGGCGTGACGATATACAGCGCATTCCCGACAGCTATCCTCAAGCTATGTCACGATTTTTAAGTCTAGGAAGGCGCATGGCTAAAGACGCTAACTTTGCAAAAGCGTATGACGTGTTCATTTCAAACATGATAGCTAACGGCTATGCAGAAGAATGTGCTCCTGAGTCATACTACGCCAACCACATTAAAGATAAACCATCTTCTTTTATGAGGCTCTATTTACCACATTTTGGTGTGTACCACCCTCAGAAATGTAAGCTTCGTTTAGTTCATGCCGCAGCCACGAATGAGTGCGTCAGCCTAAACTCTTTGTTGCTATCTGATCCAGACCTACTTCAGGCCTTGTCAGGTATTTTATTTCGGTTTCGCGAGGACTGTATTGCTCTCACTGCTGATATCCGGGAAATGTTCCCTCAAGTAAGGATCAGGGAGCAAGATAGGGACGCCCTCCGGTATCTCTGGAGGTCAAGCAGAGACCAATTTATAAAGGAGTTTAGGATGACAGCCGTCAAAGCAGTTTATGCGATTTTGTACAATCATTATATGGACGATTATATTGACTCTTTCGATGACATTCAAGAGGCAGCACAACTGGCGGCAGATATTGTTGCCGTTCACAATGAAGCCTGCCTGCTTCGAGATGCGAGGCTGGATTTCCAACGACCCATCACGCTAAAATTTATTCCTGCTGATCTTAGAGCCACTCAACCGTTGTCGAAAATCAATCTTGGCAGCTGCTCTGCAAACAATATTAGAGCGTTAGGAGTATGGTGTAATCCCACAACAGATAATTTAGGTTTCCGTTCAGGCTTAGGTGAAATATTTCCAAATCCTCTCAGGAAACGCAAAGTTCTTTGTCACCTCATGCGTGTGTAACGACCCGTTAGGCTTATTAGCTCCAATATTTGTTAAGGGTCGAATTTTATTTCAACAAACGTGGAGGTCTAATGTGGACTGGGACACCGAGTTCCAACTCACGGAAGCATTAACGTGGTCTGATTGGTTTTAGTAGATGTCAAAAGTAACTTCTTTGGAAATTCCGCGTTGGTATTCTAACTCTAAAAACACTGAACTAACTCAGAAGGAGTTACACGTTTTTGCTGATGCAAGTGAGCTCGCGTATGCATGTGTCGCTTATTAGCGCCTTTTGTACTCAGACGGCAGCATCGAGCTTTCTCTCATCTCTAGTAAGGCAAGAGTTACACCCTTGAAACCTACCTTTATCCCACGTGTAGAGCTCCAGGCCCCTTTAATAGCTTCTCTTCTCGCGATCACCATTAAGGACAGTCATAGAAAACAACCGGCACATAAATTCTTTTGGACTGATTCTATGACAGTCCTTCAGTGGTTACGTAGTGACACGCGCTCTTTTAAGCCTTTTGTTGCCCATCGCTTAGGCGAAATTATTGAAAACTCTTGCGTCAGAGACTGGCGATGGGTACCAACAGACTTCAATGTTGCCGATGACGCTACCAGAACGCGATCAATTAACCTTGACGCGTCCCACAGATGGTTTCGCGGTCCATCTTTTCTTTTTAAATCCGTTGAGAATTGGCCTACAGAGCCAAGGTATGCCTCACCAAACACCGACGAACTTAAGACCAATAGTTATGAGTTGGTCGGACTAACTTCCTTTGTCGAAGAGTTACCGACTCCGGTGACAGCCATTTTTGCTAATTTTAGTAATTGGTTGCGCTCATTACGTGCCACAGCCTGGGTACTTCAAGCTGTGGCAAAGTTTGGCTGTAATTTTGGCTTCCATTAGAAATTCTAAATTGAAAGGCGAAGTTGTTTGTGCCCGCCATCCTTCAGCGTCCACATCAGCAAATTGTGAACTAGTCGTGAACGAATTAAGACAACAATTCTGGTTGTTAAGGCTGAGGAACACAGTGAGAACAGTAGCAAAACAGTGACTACTCTGCAGAATTAGAAAGTCCTTGCCGGTGAACCCGAAAACAGGAGATCTGCCACCTGAAAGATTAGGTCACCATCGACGGCCCTTTACTTTTACAGGCCTGGACTACTTCGGCCCCGTAAGCGTCACTATCGGGCGCAGGCATGAAAAACGTTATGTGGCCCTTTTCACCTATAGATGGTACATAATATCATGACTTACTCTGCTATCATGGCTATTAGAAGATTCATTGCGTATAATAGAATTTATCTAGTACAGTTATCGATGTTTAAATAATTAACCTAAATAAGCATAAGCACTTATATAAATTTATCTACAGGTGAATGAAAATAAATTCGTTAGTTTATCTGTAGACCACTGGTCCGTCCACCCCGCGATGAGGTCATTAGCCAAGATACGGTATCTAACATGAAGTTATAATGGATTTTTTGCATTTTAATATTAAATTTAAACATCCATAGTCAACTTAAACCTATTATTATGTGCTTAACGGTAAGGAAACATAAATTTATTTGTAGAACACCTCATAATGTTTATTATTACTTAGTAACTTAAATTCTCATCACTGTTTCACTTCAATTTTATATAGTCTTATTTGTGATCCCAACCTAGTAACAACCAATCCGCCAAGTTTAACTTTTACTTTGCATCATATCATAATGTCTTTATTTTTTCGTAAAAGTATAATTTAATTGTTCTAGGCAATCGTCAGCAGGTTCTTAATGAAGTGGTGCGTTCACTTTAAAGATTATAATCATCAGATGAGATAATAATCAAGCACTGGCCAGTATTTAGGTAAAAAAGGAATAGACCAAGGTGGAACGGGATTGAAATATTCAGATTCTTTATGTTTAGTAAAAGATTTGAGCGGTTTGAGGAATAGTGCAAGGAAAGTGATAAAAATGGTCCTAAATATTACTTAACTAAAAATTATAATAAACTTTTAGTAACGCATCATAATTATGAAAGAAAATGAAAAATTATATTAACGCAAAATATACAGT